AACAGCAGTGATGGTCACTCCATCTGCACAGCACTTCACCTATTTCAGAGAGCGTTCATATCCACTATCTCATTTCAAAGCAGCACAGTCACAGCATAGGTTGGTTGGTGCTGACCATGAAGCCAAAATCAGGCCACTATTTTGTCCCAATGGGGAAGCAGATTTGAAATCAGAACTCTGAACTCTCACATTCATGGTGGTTGTAGTTTCTTTGGCTCTTTTGTCTGTAGAGCCAATGGAAGCTCTCAATGCTGGGGAAGATGGAAAGTGGACCCTCAAGATTCAGAATGAATGGGCAGAAGAATGAAGGGAGGGCCCCAATGGGGAGCTTACTTCCAAATAATTTCCTGGGCTTTGTTTTTCCTCCTTCGCCTCCCATAGAGATCCAAGTTTGGAATAAAGAAAGCTGCTTCTTTGAGAACACTTTCCAGTGCTCAGCTTGCTTGAAGGATAAAAAGAGTCTTCTAACTGTGGAAGGACTCAGAAGATGTTCTGCATACTTTGGTGGAGAATTGTTCTAGAGTCCAAAGCCAAAGTCTGTGCCATTGCTTGGAATGGAAAGTGAGATTCTTTTATGCTTCCTGCCATCTTGGTGATTCTAGAATTTGGAGGCTATACAGAGAGCAACAACCAGTGTGCATTACAGTTTAGGCTGTGACTTAGGCAATGTGTTAGGATCATCTGTAGCCCGGGTACTTTAAGATACTTGGATGGAGACAGAGATAAACCAGGGCCAAGAGAAGAGTGAAGGTAGATGTGATGGGCTGCAGAATGCCTTCCAGAAGGCAGTCTTCTGTGCTTTGAAAGCACAGAATTGGATTGTTTAGTGCAATGTCCCTACCCCACTCTTTTGCAACCCCACCAAAGGTGCACAGCTTCTTTGCTATCACCGACTCCAGTCACACTAAACTCCACCATACGGAGCCTTTGGGAGGAGTCCCAGTTGCCACGCCCTCTGCTCTGCCAAGAAGAGAGTGGGATTTGGGTTCATGGTTTTATTGTCACATGTCTGATATTGTAGAGTTTAAAGTCTCTGGGTGAAAAAAGAAACTCCTCCCTACCAAATGAGAGCTGACTGGGAACAGGAGAGGGGAATTCCCTCATTCCCTGTGGCTGTGAATCAGGGCCCCTGTGCTGAAATGTACGTCCCACTACCTGAAACTCAGACTCACTAGTGAGTCAGCAATTCCGCACCTGATTATCAACGGAGGGCAAAATGATGGGAGCATTGCCGGCCCAGGGCATGTTGGGAATGACTAAATCCTGAAGAGGCTCTTTTGAGAATACAGAAGAACTGATTCCTCAAGAGCCTGTGGAAAGACTCACAAGAAGTTCTTATTCCCCAGATCAAGCAGATGAGGTGTGTATCAGAATAGAAGACATCAGGGTGGCCTATTGCCAGGGCTTGTTGCCTGCAGAGCCAGGGGGTTCCTCCTGATCTCTACCTTAGTTCCACCTGTTTTACCCCCTTTCATTAATTCTTCAGTTGAGTGACATGAGAGTAGGGACTTGCTTTTGTTTATGGCAATATCAACAGTACCTAGATCCATGGGTGATTTTATTTATTTTTTTTTTTTTTTGATATGAAGTTTCGCTCTTGTTGCTCAAGCTGGAGTGCAATTGTGCAATCTCGGCTCACCGCAACCTCTGCCTCCTGGGTTCAGGCAATCCTCCTGCCTCAGCCTCCCGAGTAGCTGGGATTACAGGCATGTGCCACTAAGACTGGCCAATTTTGTATTTTTAGTAGAGTTGGGGTTTCTCCATGTTGGTCAGGCTGGCCTCAAGCTCCTGACCTCAGGTGATCCGCCCGCCTCAGCCTCTCAAAGTGCTGGGACTACAGGTGTGAGCCACTGCACCTGGCGATTTTTTTTTTTTTTTTTTGAGACGGAGTCTCGCTCTGTCGCCCAGGCTGGAGTGCAGTGGCCGGATCTCAGCTCACTGCAAGCTCCGCCTCCCGGGTTCACGCCATTCTCCAGCCTCAGCCTCCCGAGTAGCTGGGACTACAGGCACCCGCCACCTCGCCCGGCTATTTTTTGTATTTCTTAGTAGAGACGGGTTTTCACCGTGTTAGCCAGGATGGTCTCGATCTCCTGACCTCGTGATCCGCCCATCTCGGCCTCCCGAAGTGCTGGGATTACAGGCTTGAGCCACCGCGCCCGGCCGATTTTTTTTTTTTTTTAAATAATTAACAGCCAGTGCAGAACAGGTCAGAATAGACTCTGGCTGGGGAACTGAGTAGGGTCCAAGTGGGTAGAGCCCTGGATTTGTGTTCTAGTCTTGGTTTGTGGCTAATATGCTATGTGACCTTGAGCAAATCACTTGACCTCGCTGGGCCACAGTTTTCTCGCCTATGGAAAGGAAGAATTTAGACTAGACGTTGCAATCAGATGCCTACAGGGTCAGGCAATTAAATGAGTGAGCTCAATAGAGTGAGTTTGTCCTGGCTGTAATGTGTAGACTCCCTCTAAATGGGCAACTATTGCCAGGTAGAACTGCTGGTAGAGCATCCAGAGCACTTGACTCTTTAAGAGATGCTGAGAATCTGGATGTTTATGTGAGATCTCCTGATATTTAAAATACTGTATGGGTAAAAACTGGCTAAGTCAGTTTTAGTCTTGATCTAGATAATCCAGAAGCACCCTCCCAGCTTGAGTTTTCTGATTCCAAAATATATGTCTTCTAAAGAAGGTCCTTAAGACATCCCCTTAGTCATGGGAATTTCAGCTGGTGCAAAAGTGAGTGCCTGTGTGTGGGCTCATACTTGTATGCCATTGGGGTTTTGACTCCCCTCAAATGACACTCTCCCAATGGCCTTATCCCTCATCCCTCTCATACACCTGCAGTGGAGCTTGTTTGGTCCCCAGAGCCCAGCCCTGGGCCAGATGGAAGATGCTGTTTGTCTAGTGAGCTCATCAGCGGTAAACAGCTAGCTGTGCTGATGAGCTTGCCCTTCCCCCAGTGAAGGGAAGAGTGGCCACAGGGCAGTGGTTGAGACAGAGGCTGGCTGAGTCAGGCCTTGGGGCCTTGCTGCCTTCCCAGGCCTTTGCTGGCTACAGTCCAAAGCTAAATTGGGGCTTGGAATCATGCCTACATTATTATCAATCTGGGGCTCTTCAACACACTTGTATGAGTATGCTAGGGCTACCATAACAATGTACCTCAGAGTGGGTGGCTTAAACAACAGAAATTTTTTGTTTCATAGTTCTGGAGTTTAAAAGTCCAAAATCAAGGTCTGAGGGATGTGAAAAAAAGCTCTATTCCAGGTATCTCTCCTTGGCTTGCAGCTAGCTGTCTTCTCTTTGTGTCTCTTCATACCACCTTCCCTCTGTGGGTATCTGCCTCTGTGTCCAAATCTCTTCCTTTTATAAGGACACCATTCATATTGGATTCAGGCTCACCCTTATAACCACATTTTAACTTGATTACCTCCATAAGGATCCTGTCTCCCAATAAGGTTACATTCTGACATCTGGCTGGTGGTGGTGGTTGGGGCTGGGGGGTAGTCAAGACTTCAAAATACAAATTTTTTTTTTCTATGTGGGTGACAATTCAACTAATTGCACCACTCCTCCACAGTTTCTCACTCATTACTTTAAACACCAAAACCTCAGTGACCTGCTCATGCCCCATTTCACCTATGACAGCTCAGTGGTTGAGGGTGGGGGATTTTTAAAAGTCTTATTTACTGTTGCACAGCTTCCTGCAAACCTGTCCTCTAGATAGATGAGGAACGTGAGGGAAATCTCATCAAGCACCTGTTAGGGTACATGCAGGACTTGAATTTCAGGTAATAACAAGGAATGCCTTCTTGTTCTCTGACACACTGTCTATATGGTACTTTTAATCTTTACGCCAATAATAATTGCAAGTACATAAAAAGCACTTGATAAGTGCTAAATACTGTTGCAAGCAGTTTACATGTAGTTATTGAATCCCCACAGTACCCTGAGGTAGGTAGTATTACTGACCTCTTTCTACAGATAAGACACCAGGGCCTAAAAAGCTTAAGAAACTTTCCCAAGTCTGTAGTAACTGATGGAGTTGGGGTCTAAACCCCAAAAGTTGGCTCCAGAGGCTATGTTTTTAATCATTACACGATAGTGATCAGAGGAAGCAGGAACTCCAGCCTGGGCAACATAGTGAGACCCTGTCTCTACAAGAAAAAAAAAAAAAAAGAAATCAGTCGGGCATGGTGGCCCATGCCTGTAGTTCCAGTTACTTGGGAGGGTGAGGTGGGAGAATCGGTTGAGCCCAGGAGGTTGAGCTATGATTGTGCCACTGCATTCTAGCCAGGGTGGCAGAGCCAGACCCTGCCTTAAAAAAAAAAAAAAAAAAAAAAAGGAACTGAACTGGGTGCCAGTGCCTGTAATCCCGGCACTTTGGGAGGCTAAGGCGGATCCCTTGAGCCCAGGTGTTGGAGACCAGCCTGTGTAACATAGCAAGACTCCATCTCAAAAAAAAAAGAAAAAGAAAGAGAAAAAAGCAAACAACAACAACAAAAAAGAAGGCAGGGATTATTATTCTCATTGAAGAGATGAGGAAACTGAAACCAAGAAGCTAAGTACCTTACCCAGAGTCACACGGGTAAGAGGCAAAGTAAAGGTAGAATTCTAGTCCTGGAAGCATATGGCTTCCCCCAGACAGGACCAAGAGTTCTGGTTCTCTTCTTCATGTACAACTCCACTTACACAGGCCCACGAGTGGTAGGGCCAACCCAGAATCTCAAAATCCTTAATTTGTGCCTAACTGTCTGCATGCTGCAGGGCAATTATGCGGCGTGAAGGAGGGAGGCACCCTCTCGACTTAGATCTGAACTCCCAGTCACTTCCAGTTCCCAGGACCACCAGCCCTGAGGCGTAAGGCTAGGCTGAATGTGGGACTTTCTTAGCCGGAGTTAGAAGCGGGGGAGTAGGGTGGGACAGAGGGCGGGCGCCGCTGGGCCGGGCCGTCCAGAAACGCGGAGTGTCATATTTCTTGCAACTCGCCAATCCCGAATGCCGGGGGGCGTGGCCACACCTGGGAGGCGTGGCCTGGCGGAGGCGAGGGCTGCGGCGTCCTGGGGCGAGGCGCTGACGTGAGCTCGGCGCACCTGGGCCGGGCAGGTAAGGGCTGGTGCGGGACGGGGAGAGGAACCCGCAGTCCCTACTTGGGTAGAGCCAGGCGCCCCTTGGCTGAGACGTCGAGGAGCGTGGTAGCGACGGGTGATCTTCGCTGCGGACTTGGTTCGGAGGGACGTCAGCTTCTGGTGGACAGATTGAGCAAAGGTGGGGACGCCAACTTCTGAGGACCAGCTTGAGGGAGGGGAGGCTCCCCCGTGGGTGGGGTAGGACCCGTCGCCGGAGTTTGTGGGGGGTGAGAGAACTTGCTCGGGGGCATCTGTGTGTTTGGGTGCGTACACACTGGGGTTGGGTGCCTGTCGCCCTCTTCCAGATAGCTTTGGGGCAGCCTCAGTTCTGTAGCGCTAGGCCCCTCTCGAATCTACACTTGTGCCTACTCTCCCTACCCCCACCGCCGAAGCGGAGGGAACTGCTCTCGGTCCCCAACAACCCCACTATCCGGTAGATCTAAAGCACCGCGCCCCCTTCATTCTTACCAACTTGCCGCTGGCCCCTGTGTCCCAGAGAGAGGACTTCCCAGGTCCGCAGGCCCTTGGTCCTAGTGGGCGTTTTGAGAAACTGGTGTGAGGGTGGCCAGGAGCTTTGGAGCATTGGCGGTTTGTTTTCCCTCCTGAGTCTGTTTGGCACAGTTAGGCCCTTCGCCCTGGGCCTGGGAGACACCCTTGGATTTCCAAAGAGCGGAGCTAGGTGTTGGGGAGGGTGGGGCTGGGGTGTGGTTGCTCTGGGGGTGGGCCCTCTTTGCCCGAAGGGGCTGGAGGGTTGTGTGGAGAATGGGGAAAGTCTCCCAGGCCTGACTTGGAAAGGAGGCCTGAGGTGCCACTCTTCACAGGCAGCCTGCTTTGTGGTAAAGGGGTCACCCTGTCGCAACCTGTTCTCTTGGTGGATGTCAAGAGTGGAAGTGAGGGAAAGGAGACGGATAGAGTGAGGAAGGTGCTTGGGTGAGATTGGTGAAAGCTGGTGTTGACCCAGGAGTGTGGTTTAGGATGAGACGTGTATGATGTATGACAGTGGCACTCAATACCTTGTAACTCCCATTTGTCATCCCCCAACTTCCATCCAGCAGGGGGGAAGGGTGTAGACATTTTGACTAGACGCCCGGAGTTTACCCCTAAGCAGGGCTAAACTAAACAGGGAAACCTGAGGAACGGAACTTAGAGGATGGCATTTCACTTCCTTCAGGAGAAAGGGAAGAACTGGGACTGCTAAGACTTGTCTGCAAGAAATGGCTTGTGTTTTAACCTGAGCAAAACCACTGATGGCCAAATCTCGGCTTTGGTGTGGCAGTGCCCCTGGAAACTAGTCTGGGGAGGGGCTATGGAGGTGGCAGTGAGGGTGTTTATGGAGTACCTGCTCCCTAGAATAGGCGTATGGGAGAGGACAGTTAGTGCCCTGAGGAGGCTGAAAGTGTCCCTCCTCTATGCTCAGCGTGAGGGGAATACATAGGTTAGCATCATTGTCCTTTGGCTGGTTAAATACCTGTTAGAGACATAGGCCTTGTATTTTGCTGTGATGGCAGCTAGAGATACCAAGATGAGTTCAACTAGGCTAAGGTGGTTCTGCAGGCATTGGGATTTGGGTGGTAAGAGTGTTTAGAAAGAGAACTCTGATTTAGGTGTGTTTGAGAGTGGATGTTATGCAGTCTCCACCTCAGTCACTTTATTGGCCCTCTATGCTGCTGGAATCTTTGCTGATGTTTTTAGTTTACTTTCTTGGTGCCTAGAAGATGAGACGGACATAGAAGACAGGGTGCAGTGACAAGGTTTGGTACAGAACACTTTGACTTAGGAGATAAAGCATCTCAGTTAGCCCAGATGTAAAATGGGGATAGTAATACCACGTTCAGGTTCACGAGGATGAAACCAGACATGTTAGGTAAAGGTTCATGTAAAAATTGTAAAGCCTACACAGATACAAAGGATTGTTGTTACCATCCTTCATAAGCAATGTCTTACTGTCCTGAGGTTAAAAAAATATTACTTGTAGTTTTTAAAATTATAAGTTGAAACATATCATTGTAGGAAAATATGAATCATGTATAACGTATGTAGGAGAATGTAAAAAGCATCCATAATTCCATCACCATTACAATTCCAATAACCATTACAAATATTTTGTTGCATTGTTGTATTTCCTTTTTTCAGTTCTGTGTGTATGTGCACATGTATGCAAGTATGTGCTATGTTATAAGATGGAGATAGTGCTACACAGTATACTGTGTTTCCGCCTGCCCCCACAACTTCATATTGTAAATATTTCCTTGAGTATAATAAAAATTCTGATGCCTGTTGTTAATGGCTACTTGGTATTGCAGCCTGTGGTTGTGACGTAATGAACCATTTCCGTCTCGGTCATTTGGGTTTTCAATTTTTCCATCTCTGCCTGTTTTTAGAGTTACAGTTACTGGGTGGTGGGTGGGGGAGATCTTGGCTGACTTTCAGAAGGTGGAGAGGGTTTACAGTAAGAGAGGCAGGGCATGGGCTTGGAGGAGGGCAGGCTGGGGCTCCTTCCATGGGGCTGAGGCAAGGCTGCTCATGTGTAGTTCCATCTTAGGAGAACACTGAGAACCCAGGGCTCTAGATCTTAATCACTGATCTCTATGGGTGGCTGCTTCTCCTTTCCCATCATCAGGCGCAGCTCCTGGTCTTGGCCTGATTGCCTTAATTTTTTCATGATGGGCTTTGGATCAACTACAATAAGCCCTTTTGGACTTTTCTTCAAGTCCACTATTGGTCAAGAGTTGGATTTTAATGTCTGACAGGCCCAAACACAGCACTTACCAGTATTGCGATGGAAATTCTCAAAAGCTCTTTACTAGATTGACTGGATGGTGCCTATTTCTCTATCCTCTTTTTCCTTCTCTTGCTCCATCCCCCTTTTAGTAGTGATAGGACTGGGGAGCAGAAGGTAGAACTAGCCCTTGAGAGAATATGCATTCCCTCCTCCTTATAAGGTGTAAATGCACTCCATGGTTTGATGGTTTCACATGCTGCCCTACAAAACACCCAATTCAAGGCCAACTACGTGGGGGCACTTGAACACTGCATGCCAACCTCACCTACCCACTGTGCTCCCAGGGGGAAGGTTTCAGTTGCAGGACTTGGTAATTGGGTCAGAAAGCTCAGGTGAGAGCAGGTCTTGCCTTGCTCTTAAAGTGCCAGATGCTGAGTTAGGTTTGGGTTTTTCACATTTGTTGGGAGTCTGGCTGGGGAGAGAAGTGGTGTTATGGGCCACCCCATCAGCTAAGCTCTTCTATGTTGGAGCCTTCAGCTGACCCTTTTAACCTCTTTTCTTTCTCACCTGGCACAGTTTATTCCCATATTTAGCTTCTTTGCTGTAAGGTTGTTTGGTTTCAGAACTGTGATCTAGGTAGGGATCTTTCTGGGTATGAAGGTGACCTATTTATCTTTCACTCCTCCTCAGGCCATTTTGGGGCTTGAGAAGTTCCAATGTGGAGATTCTCAAGAAGGAACATAGAGCTTTAGTGTTTAGTAACTAACACGGTGCTTGGCACACAGTAGCTGATGAACAAATATTTGTTGAATGAGTGTTCTTTTTCCAGGCATCTCATTCTCATCTTAAGTAAAAACAAAATAAGAACACCAAAAAGTCCAACAGAACATCTCAGATAAACAATTCTCCAGTGACTCTTTTTTTATCAGTCACCTAATCTGGGAAGGCTTTTATTTTCTGCCGTGAGTGCCAGCTGCTCTTGAATGTTATCTGCTATGCCCATGTATTTTTACGAGAATCAATTGCAGACTTTACCCAGGCTGGCTCCTGCAACCAATCAGTTCACTCCAGGCTTCATTGGGAGATAAACAGACCCAAGGGAGGAGGCTGTCCTAGCCATGCAAAGCTTGTCTCATGTCTGTTTTTGGTACTCTAAGTACTCTTAGTACTTTAGTATTTGGTTATTCTAGGACTTCTGAGCTTTACCAGAACTTATTTGCAGAGACATATTCTCAGAACCTTTGTCGCCAATGTTCCCAAGCCTTCTCCCAGACACTAGATTGTTGTATGGATAACCATCTGAGACCCCCCTTTTCTCCATACAGAACCTTTGAGTGGTCAAGGGAAAGACAAGCCAACTCTTCAGATCCCTGCGAACACACTGCCTGCTCTTCCATGTAAGTGAAGACTCTGGAGTCCAGGATCTACCCCTCACCTACTTCTCCCTCATCATGGTGCTGTCATTTCTTTCTAAAATATTCCCATTCACCTTTAGTTGTCTTGTTTAAAAAGAGAACATGCTTCAGCTTCTCACTTATATAGTTGTTGCTGTTTCCATAACTTTTTTCTTCCCTCTCCTGAGATGAGATTGAAAAGAACAATTTCCCTTCTCTTCCAAAGTCCTTGGTGCTTCAGGAAGGACTGTGTTCCAGCAGGATGACATCATCTTTTTATTTTTCTGCTTCAGGATTTAAATAGAAGAAATGTGATCTACTTGCATGATAAGTCTGATTTGGCTAAAGCATGAAGTATAAATGGCTTTGGAATCAGAATAAAAAGGACCTTTTAACCTCTTTTCTTTCCCACCTGGCACAGTTTATTCCCATATTTAGTTTCTTTGCTGTAATCTAGTGAAACTGTAGCTCTAGTAGATGGGAACGGTGGCTGGGAAGGGTTCCCAGTGGCTGGCCTAATTCTTCTGCTCTTCCCATTTCTCCCTCTGATCCCCCAGATCATGGCCCTCCACCCCCGCAGAGTCCGACTGAAGCCCTGGCTGGTGGCCCAGGTGGATAGTGGCCTCTACCCTGGGCTCATCTGGCTACACAGGGACTCTAAACGCTTCCAGATTCCCTGGAAACATGCCACCCGGCATAGCCCTCAACAAGAAGAGGAAAATACCATTTTTAAGGTAAAGGACTTCTTCTACCATCAGACCTTTCTGGATTTTTTTTTTTTTTTTTTTTTTTTTGGCCTGGGGAATATACTAGATCTAAAACTCTGGTGAAACAGAGAGAATGCTTATGATGGGGGTGCCCAAACTCTGCAGGCATGGTAATTCCTCTTTTGGAGGCATATCTGCAATGGTTGAAGCCCTTTGTTCTTTCCCACTGGTTGAAGGTACTCAATCACATCCCAAAGGATACCAGCTGGGGTTGGCCAAAACTCTCATTAGTGATTGTAGTGATGTGTTTGTTTCAAAAGCTAGCTAGGGTCAGCAGTTGACTCTTCCTCCTCAATCACTCAGAGCTCTTGCTATGCAGAGAGGTGCTTGGGCCTGGCAATGGATACTCAGACCAGGACAGAACTATCAGGTGTTAGCAGGCACACAGTATAGCCTATGTGGTTGGTATAGAGGACTCTCAGCAAGTTTTTCTTTCTTTTTCTTTTTTTGTGGGATATGGTCTTGCTCTGTCAACCAGGCTGGAGTGCAAGTGGCATGATCATAGCTCACTGCAGCCCTGACCTTCTAGGCTCAAGCGATTCTCCCACCTCAACCTCCCACGTAGCTGGAACTATAAGTACACACCGCCATGCCTGGCTAATTTTTGTATTTTTTCTGCAAAGACAGGGTTTCACCATGTTGCCCAGGCTGGTCTTGAACACTTGGGGTCAAGTGATCCTCCCTGCTTAGCCTCCCAGAGTGTTCAGATTACAGGCATGAGCCACTGCACCTGGCAAGCTTTTCTTTTGAGTTAAAATATTTTGCCCCATCTATAACTGCTGCTTAAAAATTAAAGGTGATTTAATTATAAGTTTTAATTTTATGAATGTTTTCAAAAATAAGAAATAGCACTGATATGACAGTCATTTTATTTAACTGAAAACAAGATTTAATCACATAACATTTTACAAAATTTAAGTGAAACCAAAGCTTGACTTAAGACAGAAGTAGGTGGACAGGCTTGTTGTGGGAAAGGTTGTCACATAGTTTGAAACACTGGAGGCTGTGCCTCTGCTCCAGACCAGCTTCTTTCTTGGTCACTTCCATCTCATGAGTAGCTTTAGTTCCTGCATCCCAAGACATTGAGAAGTTAGTTTGTTTGCCCTTTTCTTCTTTGAGTATAAGCTAGAAATCACCAGTGAAATACAGTCTCTACTGTGGGCCTCTCAAGATTCATGCCTTGGGTCCTTACTGAAATTGGGTTTGGAAAGGGCAGAAAATGTGAGCGCAGGGTTCAAAAGAAAGCCATCCTTGGGATGTTTCCCACCCAACTCAGTTATGTCAGGTGTAGAGAGGACAGGCAGAGAGAAAATTGGCCTGAAGGTACTTAGAAGGTAAATGACTGCTGTTAATTTAGATTTTAAATAACAATATAAAAGTTGACAAGGTTAGTACCTATAAACCAGCACCAATTATTGGAGTTGGCATTGAGAAGGGCGCAGGCCCATCTTGGCCCAGTTGGCCTCTTGTGGCCATGGTCTGAAACTGGATTTGCTGTTCAAATGTCTGACAGTGGCTGGCCCTGGGGAAGAGGCTATTTCCTGAAAGCCCTACTCATGAGAGTGATGCTTTGGGCTTGCATGCTTGGGGCTTGAGGAAAATTGGGCTGTGGGGAGGTGACTTTGTTTTAGTTATATCTGTGCATCTGTTTGCAGAGTGCAGAGGGAGGGTGCTTTCACAGATACCAAGCTCTGATGGCCTTTAGCAGAATATACAGGTGGGCACTAACATTAAATGAGTGTCTGTGTCCATTATCTCTTTTAATTCTCATGACAACCCTGTAAGGGAGGTATTACCTTCATGCTGTTGATGCAGAAGCTAAGTCTTAGAGGGATTGAATAACTTGCCAAAATCACACACCCAGTAAGTAGTGGGGGCAGGATTTGAACCCTTGACTTTCTGTCTCCATTCCAACCCCCATTATACTGCCCTTTCTGATCAAGAATTGGAAGAACTAGCCTCAAATTCTACTACCATCAGCTGCATGTGTAGCCCTGAGCAAGTTAACCTCTCTGGGCTTCAGCTCCTCTTTGGTAAAATGGGGATGAAAGTAGTCTTGCCTGTGAGAATCAAGTGAAATAAAGTATGGAAACGGATTTGTAAAGCGCTATAAAAATGCAGAGATTATTTCTTCTTTAGGAAGAGAAATAAGGACCTGCACAGTGATCAGAATCTCTTGCTAGCAAGACTCAGAATGGGTTTGAACAAGCGATGTTTATAAATCACAATGATTGCCACATGGTTCCACCTAGGCTCTCCTTTCTTGTTTTGCTTTGTTTTTGTTGTTGTTGTTGTTGTTTTTTGAGACAGAGTCTTGCTCTGTCACCCAGACTGGAGTGCAGTGGCACGATCTCAGCTCACTGCAACCTCCACCTCCTGGGTTCGAGTGATTCTCCTGCCTCAGCCTCCCAAGTAGCTGGGATTACAGGTGTGCACCACCATGCCCAGGTAATTTTTGTATTTTTAGTAGAGATGGGGTTTCACCATGTTGGCCAGGATGGTCTCAATCTCTTGACCTCATGATCTACCCACCTCATCCTCCCAAAGTGCTGGGATTACAGGCATGAGCCAACGGGCCTGGCCTCCTTTCTTGATTATAAAGTTCCAGTCTTAAAGGATACGGCTCTTCACTGCATCAGCCTTGGGTGCCCAGTGCAATCTGGGTGGGTCCTGGGGATGGCTGTGTGGTGAGCAGGAAGGCTGGGGCTGTGGTTCTGGGTTGGTCTGGCTGCTCTCTACGGAGAAGCAGGGCTTTAGGGAACCACAGAAATGTGCAGACCTCTGCCAAAGTCTTCATAGCCCAAGTCAGCTGGGTGGGGCCAGACTTAGCGTGGGCACACAGAGGATCAAACAAACGGAAAGGAAAATGTGGGGAGGCAGCAGCCAGGTATTGCCAGGTAACTGGAGATAGGCCTTCCAGATACCAGTGACCAGTGAAATTGAAATCTCCTGTAGGGGGTTGGATAGAATGGAGCAGCAGTTAGGCCCCCTAGTGTCTGCTCAGCCACCTGGGGCAGCACAGTGTTGCCAAACTTCTTCATTCCGTACCACAAATCCAATGGAGGGACCGGAATCTGAGAAGATGGTAAGAGGAAGTGATCCGAATTGGAGGAGGAGGATTTAGATTAGCTTTTGAGGGAACTTCCTCATGACTGTGAGGTTCTTCAGGGGGTGACTGAAAGAGATCAGAGCTCTTGAAGGATGGGGCAGAAAAATTCAATTTCAGCTTGAGGCAGAAGCCTATGATCAGAATCAGGAAGGGATTGGGTTTGGACAAGTCAAATAACCTGTTAGCTTGAAAACATTGGTGTGTGCTTCCTGTCTTGAGTTCTCTGCTAATGGCACCTACTTTTTTGGCATCAGAACAAGTTGTACTCCTGCACAAAGAGATCAGAGAACTTGTTAGCAATGGGGGAGAGTGGCTATCCTATGAGCAGAAACAAGAATGCCTGTTAGAGCCGAAAGTAGGGCTAGGTGTCTACTCCCTGCTTTGCTCCTGAGCACTTTGGTCTATGACTTGAGCGGCTTAGATTTTTCATTTCCTCACTGGGAAGGCTAACTTCTTCTTGTCTGGGGAAAGTGCTGTGAGTTTCCATATTTGAAAACCAGAGAGAAGGAGTCAAAGTGGTTTTAGTCCATGCTGCCAGCCACTGGTGTGGTTGACAGCATGATGTTTCTAATGAAGTAGAAGTTTGAGAGGATAGGGAAAGGTAAGGGGTGTGGATTTTTTAGGACTTGAGGCCCTCAGGCAGTGGGACAAGCTGAACCCCCAGTGTGTTTCCTTCCCTCCTAAAGGTACTTGGTTTCTACAATTCTTTTTTTTTTTTTTTTTTTTGAGATGGAGTTTTACTCTTGTTGCCCAGGCTGGAATGCAATGGCACAATCTTGGCTCATGGCAACCTCTCCCTCCCGGGTTCAAGTGATTCTCCTGCCTCAGCCTCCCAAGTAGCTGGGATTACAGGCATGCACCACCATACCTGGTTAATTTTATGTTTTTAGTGGAGACGGGATTTCTCCATGTTGGTCAGGCTGGTCTCGAACTCCTGGCCTCGTGATCCACCCGGCTTGGCCTCCCAAAGTGCTGCAATTACAGGAGTGAGCCACAATTCTTTATTTATGTATTAGATTGAAGACTGACGGGAAGGAACCCAGGAGGCCAAACTCTTCATATCCTCTGCCATGCCTCTTTGTCTTACCTATTGTCATATAAGCAACTCATGTCAAAAATGAATAAGCAAAGAAAAAAGTTACTTGAAATTCTGCTATCCAGAGTTACCATCTGCACTTTGGTGCATATTTTCCCCAAACTTTATCTTCAGCCCTTCATTAGAACATTGTCGTCTTGATGAGTGCTGGTACCAATGCTTGCGATAAGGCTCCTCCTTTTAATATATTGTGTTTGCACATGGCTTTATTTCACTTAGGCACCTGTCTTGCCTGGTCCTAAGGGCAGTGTTTCCTGCTACAGTCTCTGTAAATTGGGGTTGGGATGGTGGGGCAGTCATGCAAGAGTGTGTGTGTGTGTGTGTGTGTATCTATGAGAAAGGGCAAGCACACGCTTTGCAGTGGCTCTGGGCAATGATAGGACTCACTGTGGTTTCTTGTTCTCAGGCCTGGGCTGTAGAGACAGGGAAGTACCAGGAAGGGGTGGATGACCCTGATCCAGCTAAATGGAAGGCCCAGCTGCGCTGTGCTCTCAATAAGAGCAGAGAATTCAACCTAATGTATGATGGCACCAAGGAGGTGCCCATGAACCCAGTGAAGATATATCAAGTGTGTGACATCCCTCAGCCCCAGGGCTCGATCATTAACCCAGGTGAGGCCCCAGGTGCTGGGGAGAAGGTGGGCAGTATGCCAGATTCTCGGCTGGACTCTTAAGAGATTGTCAACTTGAAAACAGCCTGATTTACAAAGTTTAAGATGGATAAAGCAAGAAAGCCTTTCTCTGGGAAGGACATAGAAAACAAAAGACTCAAACTCAGCAAAATCTTGCTTAATTAGGGGTATGTTTTTTAGCCTAGTTACTTAAAACATTAGAAAGTGGAGGGGTATACAGTTCTACTGTAAAAGTAGCCTCTCTTGGGATTCAAGAGGCCAGGTAGTTTTGAAGGAGAAGGGATCAAAGCTTAGGTTTGCATTCTAAACCTGGCCCTTATCACTTTACTACTTGTAGGACTTGAATCAAGTCATTTTACCTCTTGTGAGCCTCAGTTTCTTCAACTCTAAAATATGGGATCTCAGCTTTCCTATTTACTTCAAAAGCTATTGTGAGAATCAATTAACATGACCTGTAAAAAAAAAAATTAACATGATCTGTAAAAAAATTTTTTTTAATTGACAAATAATAATTGTACATATTCATTGGGTATATAGTGATGTTTTGGTACATACAATAGTGACAAGATCAGGGTAATAAGTTCTTTATACATGTTGGGTGAGTGATCGTTTAATTCATAGGATACTTTGAATAAGAGAATATCTCCTAATCCCTCCAATTAACTCCGTACTTAACAAGTACTAACAGCCAGATAATTTAGATACATGCTCCAGTGAATCCAGGGAGGTCCTTCCATGAGAGAAGTGTTGGTTCCTTTGATTCTCACTCTTTTTAGCTAGGACATTGAGGGTGTGTACTGAACCTGAGGAGCCTCTGGGATAGCAGTCCCTAGCTTGAATGGTGGGTCAGCTGCAGGGATGGCAGTGCAACCTGAATGGCTCACTTATGAGCTTGTGTATCTTGGGTAGGATCCACAGGGTCTGCTCCCTGGGATGAGAAGGATAATGATGTGGATGAAGAAGATGAGGAAGATGAGCTGGATCAGTCGCAGCACCATGTTCCCATCCAGGACACCTTCCCCTTCCTGAACATCAATGGTGAGTGGGGATGATGGGTGGTACAGAGACATACGGAGGATGTAAGGAGTTTTGACCTTGGAACTGTCAATACATTGGCCACCACTGCCCTGAAAGCAGGATCGGTCCAGGCTGCTGGACTGTTAGCAAGTGGGAGTCAGAGGTGAGGAACTCCCTGCTGTCTCAGTTATCCCAGTAGAGTTGGGTGGGTTCCAGGCAATAGAACATCTTCGGAAGCTTATGTGCTAATTCAAAGAAATAAAAAATTTGAATTCATTCTTAACCCAACATACAAATATATCATCAGTTATACATTTTGCCAATTTCCTTCAGGCCAAGTGCAGTGCCAGTTTTACGAGTTACGGGCAAACTCTTCTAATATTTCTCTTGGTATAAATTCTGTGTCATTTCCTTAACAAGGACCACTCTGCTTAGGCTGTATCACAGGAAACTTGTGATGTTTGTAGCTGATAATTCTAGGCTCTGATAGGATTTATCTGCAACAGACTTTCCTTTTGTGGGCTTTTGAATCCAGCTTCCCAGGAAAATTGAGTTGGGAGCTTGAGAATCCACTGTGTGACAGAGCAGGTACTGAATCTCCCACTGCATTTTCTGAGGATACTTGAACACATGTTGAATTACTCTTCTGCAGCATCTTTACTTGATTTGTCCACTGAAATGCTCCTACTCAAATGACTTGCGGATATCCAGCCAACCAGTTTTTCATTGTCTTTTTAGTACCACCTGGCTGCAATGGGTCAAAATGAGATAACTTGTGCCACCTATAAAACTTAGGATATCAAGATTATTTATTTAGGATTTTCAGGTACCCTACTCTAGGTGATGCCCCTACCTTTCAGAATCAGGAAATGACACTTGTCTATCCACTGGCCCTCCTTCATTTATCCTTCCACTTATATATTTGCAACCAAGTGTGGGTAAAGAGAAGTTTCATAGAGATCTTCCAGGTCAATATTGCCATATATTTAACGTCACTAATCATTAGAGAAATGCAAATCAAAACCACAATGAAATACCATCTCACACCAGTCAGAATGGCTGTTACCGAAAAGTCAAAAAATAACAGATGCTGATGAGTTTATGGAGAAAAGGGAACACATATCCTGCTGGTGGGAATGTAAATTAGTCCAGTCACTGTGGAAAGCAGTTTAGTGATTTCTCAAAGAACTTGAAACAGAATCACCATTTGGCCCAGCAATCCCATTATTGGATATATGCCCAAAAGAATATAAATTGTTCTTCCATAAGGACACATGTACACGTATGTTCATTGCAGCACTTATTCACAATAGTAAAGGCATGGAATCAAATTAAATGCCCATCAATGGTGGACTGGATAAAGAAAACGTGGTACATATATACCATGGAATACTATGCAGCTATAAAAAAGAATAAGATCATGTCTTTTGCCACAACATGGATGTAGCTGGAGGGCATTATCTTAAGTGAACTAAAACACAGGAACAGAAGACCAAATACTACTTGTTCCCCCTCATAAGGGGGAGCTAAACATTGAGTACACATGGACACAAAGAAGGGAACAATAGACACTGGGGCCTCCTTGAGGACGGAGGGTGGGAGGAGGATGAGGATTAAAAAACTACCTATTGGGTACTACACTTATTAACTGGTGACTAAATAATCTCTATACCAAACCCCGGGACATGTAATTCACCTATTTAACAAACCTGCACACGCATTCCTGAAACTAAAATAAAAGTAAAAACAAACAAAGCATTGCCACATGTTATATTCTCACTTAGTGAAATTGAACATCTAGAAATGTGGGATCAGGCCGGGCGCGGTGGCTCACGCCTGTAATCCCAGCACTTTGGGAGGCCGAGGCGGGCGGATCACAAGGTCAGGAGATCGAGACCACGGTGAAACCCCGTCTCTACTAAAAATACAAAAAATTAGCCGGGCACGGTGGCGGGCGCCTGTAGTCCCAGCTACTCAGGAGGCTGAGGCAGGAGAATGGCGTAAACCTAGGAGGCGGAGCTTGCAGTGAGCCGAGATCGCGCCACTGCACTCCAGCCTGGGCGACAGAGCGGACTCCGTCTCAAAAAAAAACAAAAAACAAAAAACAAAACAAACAAACAAAAAAAAATAGAAATGTGGGATCCTTTCCCAAATGTCTGGCTGACTCATTCTGTTATTCTCACCCCCTAAAAGGATGCAGTTTATTTCCAGGATCCTGATTTCCTATTTCTGTTGCTATTTTATTAAAGCTAGCATTTGTGTGTCCTTATGTTTTGAGCTGCCTTTAATCCTTTTTTGGAAAGTTGTAGAATAGATATGAAAAACAAAAAAGTAAAATGAGAATGTAAATTTAACCAGACTTATACACAAAGGGTCAAAGAAACATTAACCTTTGTGATTTCAGAGCTGTTGGGCCAGAGGATGAAGAATTGTTGAAGAATAGATGCCTAAGAGGTGAGGCTAGGAGGAGAAATCTGTAGACTTTGGAGCAAGTCACCTTTGACAGTAGCAGGGAAATACTCTTTTTTTTTTTTTTTTAAAAAAAAACCTTCAATTGGATCCTTTTGAATAAATAATACTTTCACATGGTTGACATTCATAATGGTACAAAAAGGTAAATACGTGGAAAGGTTTTCCTTCTATCCTGTCCCTGAACCTTCATTTCTTTCCCTGGAGGAGTCAGATCCTTCTAGGTTCTTGAGTATCCTTCCAGACATTTTATGCATGTAAAAGTATTTGTTTGTTTTTAAAGGAATTTCTATGCATTAACACTTCCTTGAAGCTAATCAGCTAATTCAGTTGAGTTCATTTTATGGAAGACAACAAACCTCTATTTAATTGCTTGGGGCAAATTTTACAGTATGGAATCTCTTACTCCTTATAATTTAACCTCCAGAGAAAACTCACTTGTCTAAGTTAATTTTCAGCAAACAAAGGTTTTTAAAACTATGAATTTGTGGGAGAAATAATATGATTAGGAAGCAGGAGCAGGGGAAGCTTATTTCTTATTGTGTTAGTTATGGGAATCACTGATGGGCTGGAAGATCACAGTGGGTCAGGGTTCAGTATTTAGTTCTTGTCTACTGACCTTGTGAGTTCTCAGAGCATCAGCAAGTGATGTGCATTGTCTGCTCACCATATGCTTTTGTTCTAGGTTCTCCCATGGCGCCAGCCAGTGTGGGTAATTGCAGTGTGGGCAACTGCAGCCCTGAGGCAGTGTGGCCCAAAACTGAACCCCTGGAGATGGAAGTACCCCAGGCACCTATACAGCCCTTCTATAGCTCTCCAGAACTGTGGATCAGCTCTCTCCCAAGTAAGTGAGACCTTATCTTTCTTGCTGGGCCTTCTGCTCCTATTACAGACTCTTTCCTGTCCTGCTTTCTGACTTAATTTCTTTGCCATGCATTGAAAAACTACCTGTCTCAGAGGCACCTTCTATTTCTGTTTCCTGGCTAGCCCATGAGTCACCAGGGAAGAAGTAAAGAAACACTGGCCCAGCTGGGTGTGGTGGCTTACACCTGTAATCCTAGGCTGAGGTGGGAGGAGTGCTTGAGGCCAGGAGTTTGAGACTAGCCTGGGCAACATAGTGAGACTCTAAAATTATCTGGGCATAGCAGTGCATGCCTGTGGTCCCTGTTACTTGGGAGGATGAGGTAGGAGGATCACTTGAAGGCAGAAGGTCGAGGCTGCAGTGAGCGCTGATCAAGCCATTGCACTCCAGTCTGGGTGACAGAATGAGACATGGTCTCAAAAAAAAAAAAGAAAAGAAAAAGAAAAGAAACATTGGCTGATACTTACTTGCCCATAAGGACGCTCTGATTGGTTACAGCTCCAGCTCCAGGTTATTCAGGTCTTAGGTGGGTAGGAGGCCCAGGTTTATCAGTCAGGCAGGGGGATTTAGTGACAAGGTTAGTTGTGGAACAGGGAGGTTAATGGCCATGGATTTGGTAGAGGAGGCTCTTGGATTTTGAGAGACTTTAGGACCTACAGAAAAAACCTCTTTCTGAATTTGGTACGAATTTATCTCAATGAAGAATCAATGTCATTGCCTGGGTCTCCCTTTCACACTATACATGGTAGGCATGTGAGTGCTATTAATACAATTTTGTCCAAGAGGCTAATTAGCTTTGATAAGGGCTATTGGGTTCAATGGAGATTTGCTGAGTAAAAATTAACTTTGATGTGAACTGTGTCCTTTCATGGTATATTATTAGAACAGATCCCCAGTGTGTGTGCTCACATGTCATTTTCAGAAAAATTGTTTGGTATTGCTTCTTGTTCCTCAAGTTTCTTTAAACAATAAGCTAAAAATGATACACAAACCAGATACCTTAGTTTTTAGTTCCTTCCAATGACCACTGGTGTGAAGACTCAGTCAGTATAGCGTGGGGATACCAGGACCACTTTACTTGATGAAATTGTAGCCCTTGGGGTGTGGTGATTGAACAGAAATAGTTGAGATGGACCTTGAACTGTTTGCTTTCAGGCAGCCTTTTGAGTGAATATTCCAGGGATATGTTGATGTCTCCCTTTATTGCAGGAAGGATAACTATGGCAGTGGCCTTCCTGAATGCTGGTTGAAAGGTGGCTTGATCTTAATGGACTTGCATGAGTCACAGGGATGAACAGGCAGAGCAGTGAAGCAGGACTCTCACTGTCATCTCTAACCTTGCAGTGACTGACCTGGACATCAAGTTTCAGTACCGTGGGAAGGAGTACGGGCAGACCATGACCGTGAGCAACCCCCAGGGCTGCCGACTCTTCTATGGGGACCTGGGTCCCATGCCTGACCAGGAGGAGCTCTTTGGTCCTGTCAGCCTGGAGCAGGTCAAATTCCCAGGTCCTGAGCATATTACCAATGAGAAGCAGAAGCTCTTCACTAGCAAGCTGCTGGACGTCATGGACAGAGGACTGATCCTGGAGGTCAGCGGTCACGCCATTTATGCCATCAGGCTGTGCCAGTGCAAGGTGTACTGGTCTGGGCCATGTGCCCCATCACTTGTTGCTCCCAACCTGATTGAGAGACAAAAGAAGGTCAAGCTATTTTGTCTGGAAACATTCCTTAGCGGTAAGTCATTTCTTAGAAGGTTGATGGTGGGAATCATTCTCTGGAAGTACATTCCTTCCACCATGACTGCCTTTCACCTCCCTGCTTTCCTGGCATGGCAAAGATCTTTAAAAATTTCTTCTGGAGGAGGTCAAGGGAGAACAGAACTTTGGCTCTAAAAATTGGAGGTGACCTCGGCAACAAAGAAGGGAGTTTCACTCCAAAGATACGTACTTGGAAGTCATTTTTAAGTTGGTTGTGGCTCTTTCAATGGCAGAAGAATGAGACAGCCCTGTCATTACATCTCAAATGTTACCAGCTTGTCTTTAACTTTGGAAGGTAATCCTGCTTGTCATATTCAGAATAGCACATGTTCTTTTGGGAATTATCTGAGTGGTGAATTCAAGCAGGCAGTTTTGGGGAAAGCACTGAGATGTGAATTTTTTACAATGTGGTTTGGACCGCAAGTTGTGATCAATGATGTCCAAGAGAACCCTCTGTAATTTGTACTGTTCAATATATTTGTGCTATTCAGTATGGTTGTCACAAGCCATATGTGGCTATTGAGCATGTAAATATGACTAATGTGACCCAGGAACTATTTAATTAATTTAAAATTAGTGAGTGCTTGTGGCTAGTGACTATTGTAATGGACAGCATAAAAGATGGTATTTGTTGAGTGCATGTGGAATGACCCGGTATACCAAACTTGCTCTTCCACTTTCTGCAGATCTCATTGCCCACCAGAAAGGACAGATAGAAAAGCAGCCACCGTTTGAGATCTACTTATGCTTTGGGGAAGAATGGCCAGATGGGAAACCCTTGGAAAGGAAACTCATCTTGGTTCAGGTGAGAAGATAAGGCTGTGTCAACAACTCTTCTCCTTTTTGCCAATGCTTTAGGCCCCAGGTCTGGGTTGAGCCTTCATCAAGCATCCATCAGCCCATGTAGGTTTCAGTCTCATCAGATGGGGTAACAGACTCAGGTTTGTGCAGTAGGACCATGCTGGAAAAGGCAGGGTCCTTAAAATGGGTGACTGATTTAGAGGAGATCTTGTCTTTCATTCTCTTACTAACCTTAGAGTCTTGCTGAAACCTCACAGATATGACCCTTTCCAGCTTTTCTTCACACACACACACACAATGTAAATTGCACTTTTTTTTTTTTTGGAGACACGGTCTTGCTGTGTCACCCAGGCTGGAGTGCAGTGGCATCATCTCAGCCCACTGTGGCCTCAACCTCCCAGGTTCAAGTGATCCTCCCACCTCAGCCTCCCAAGTAGCTGTGACTACAGGCACAGGCCACCATGCCTGGCATAATTTTATTTTTAGCAGAGATGAGGTCTCACTATGTTGCCCCTGCTGGTCTTGAAATCGTGGGCTTAAGTGATCCTCCTGCCTCAGCCTCCCCAAATTCTGGGATTATGGGTATAAGCCACCACACCTGGCCCTTTCCAGCTTTTCTTAGAAAAACCTTTTGAGTTACTTTTAGGAATATAAATTTATTCTAGGAAGTGGCAGCAAGGCCAGTTGGGCTTTGCCCCTGGAGTTGTGTAGCAAGGCAAGCAATAGATGATATTTTGTTAAAAGTCTTGCAAAGTAAGCAGTCATTTATTTAGGCATGTAGCCTAATGTTACATCTAGGTTCTTTACCTTCATTTGAACCAACTTCCAGAGTGAGCTTTGGCAGGAGGATGGTCCAGAGAGATGAAGGCATATCCTTTATTTAGACATTAGAATGGGGGGGCTTCCCCAGGGCCTCTTTGGTCTGCCCTTCAATCTTGGGTCCATTGTGCTATTTAAAAATACCTTTTCCTGAGAGGATACACCTATGTTCTGTGTCTTGAACAGGTCATTCCAGTAGTAGCTCGGATGATCTACGAGATGTTTTCTGGTGATTTCACACGATCCTTTGATAGTGGCAGTGTCCGCCTCCAGATCTCAACCCCAGACATCAAAGATAACATCGTTGCTCAGCTGAAGCAGCTGTACCGCATCCTTCAAACCCAGGAGAGCTGGCAGCCCATGCAGCCCACCCCCAGCATGCAACTCCCCCCTGCCCTGCCTCCTCAATAATCGTGAATGCCATCTTCTTCCTTTCCTTTTTTATAATATTGTATATATGGATTTTTTTATTGTTTAGATTTAACCAGCTTTTAAATCTCTCTTTTCTCTAACAGTGTTAGAAGTCTGTGATTCTCCAAGTATGCCTAGATTTAAAGCTGATTTAATTTATGGAAAAATCACCCTTCAGACTTTGCTTTTCTTTTTCAAATCTCCTAATGGTAGTATGATGTAGCACAGTAGAAGGAGATTTGGCCTGGGAGTTTGGACACCAAGGTTCTAGCTGCAGCTTTGCTGCCAATGTGACCTTGAACAAGTCCTTTAACCTCTGGGCTTCAGATTTATTGCTTATAAAGTGAAGAGATTGGAATGATGCCTGAAATTGTATACAGCTTTAAAACAGACTCGATGACCTTCTTCTACTTGTACAAGGCTAAACTGCCTGGAACAGAATCCTTCTGCATTGTTCTTGTACCACATTTTTCCTTGGTTTTGTTAAAGTTTCCTCAAGCACTGATTTGTCCAGGATCAAGCTCTGTTTGACCTGTTCTGCTAGTATAGTAAGCTGGCTCCCTGATGGGGGAAGTGAGAGGGAGAGGAGCTGGCTGGCTGGTTGCTTAGAAACCATGCTTGATATCTAAATAGAAATGGGTGCCAAAGTCTGAAAGTCACCCAGCCTGTGGAGTGAAAGCTCACAAATTTGGCTTCTAAAGGGAAGCTGTTGACACAGAAAGCCTAGGGATTCTGTGGAAGAATAGGTTGTCAGGCATTTACCATATTACCACTCAAATACCAGTGTGTGTGTGTTTAGGGGTTGGGGGAGGGGGGTAGATGATAGTATGTGACTCAGGTGGTAGCTTTAAGAGGAAAGAGCTCTATTTTTCTTATTTTCTTCTCTGAGCTAGACTGAGCTGGGGATCTAAGATATACTTCTCTGACTACAAAAGGGACAGTATAATTTAGATTTTTTGCAGTTGAAAGATATTGGTTTTTGGGTGTGTTAAGGCAGGGATGAAGAAGGGCTGGGCAGTACTCTTCTGGAAAGGCTCACATAGCAGGAACCTGCTTGTCTCCCTTACTAGTGGAGTTATCTGAGTGTGAACAGTGAAGGTAAAGAGTGGTATAGAACAATGCAGGTCTATCTGTCACAAACTGATCTTATCTGGAAACATCTGCTGAGTCTCTAACCATTTTGGCTTTCTCTTCTTTTTTGAGACAGAGTCTTGCTTTGTTGCCAGGCTACAGTGCAGTGGCAAATCACCACTTACTGCAGCTTTAAGCTCCTGGGCTCAAGCAATCATCCTGCCCCAGCCTCCTGAGTAGTTGGGACAACAGTCGTGCACTATGATGCTTGGCTAATTTTTTTTTTGTAGAGATGAGGTCTTGCTATGTTGCCCATGCCGGTCTTGAACTCCTGGGCTCAAGCAATCTGGGACCTAAATGGCAAATAAGATGGTAATCTGTGGTTGCAAGCCCCAGTCCTCTTGAATAGTGACGCCTTTCTGTCTGTGTCGGGACGTAGTAAGGAAGCCCATGTCTAGTCTGGTACCTTTAAACCAGGCCATCTCCTACTTTTCAAAATGACTCAAAAGTTGTGCTAGCCTTATTTTAAAAACTAAAAGTTCATAATCAGTGGTGACACGAGGACTTATTTATTTAAAGTTCTTAAGCTTTGGTTTTAGAGTTTCTAAGAGACCTGGTGGAATTTACTATTATGAAAAGCATTACCCATGCTATTACGAAAAGCATGACAAGATTAAGAAATCTGGCTAAAGGTCAGGTGCCCAGCTTTGAGGAAAAGTTGGGCTTTTAGGGACCAGGAAGTGTTAATGGCACAGAAACTTTACATTTTTTGGGTCATTTTGTTGAGCAGGTGAAGTGAGGGATTTGGTCTTGATATTTGGCTGCCCCATCTCTATGTGGGAGCTCAAAGTTAAAAATAACCCACTGTAGGTAAATTAGAAGGGTAGCTTTTGAATCTGGGCCAGTCTGTATCCCTTCTGTGAAATGCTAACAGCCAGGCTATCTGTAGCCTGGGTGGGAGCCCAGATAATGTGAGCTGGTAAAGGGTATTGGAAAAGTGCCAAGAAATACCAAGCTTTTGGTTTGTAACCACTGCGAAAAGTTTATGAACATGTCAGAGAAATGGATGAGTGATTTGTGAGGGCCTCACTAGATACCCCAGTTTCTTCCTTGTTTTGGCTCCTTTTCAGAATGCTGGGAGAGTGCTGGATAGATTTAGGTTTCCTTTCTTTTTTTAGGGCCTCAGTCTGCTATCTCCTTTGGTGGCCACCACCACTCACTCCCTTGATATCTTCTACTCCCTTGCCTTCATTATGCTTAAGACTGAGAAGGGAGTTAGATTTTGTCACTAGCTCTTCTTTTTCCTCACCGTCTACCCCACCAAACAAGATTAGTTCAAGTTAAAAAGAACCTACTGGAGGTAAACTGGGAGGGCAAGTGTTGGATCTGGGCTGGTCCCTTTCCCATATAATTAGGTCCCTGGTTATATGTTCCCATAGCACCCCATAGTTCCTCTTTCAGAATAATCATTTCCCTTGTAATGCTCAGCATCTGTATCCTGCTTGACTGCAAACTTGCTGAAGGTAGGGATTGTTTGTCTTGGACTTCGCTGCCAGTCCTTAGAACAGTGTCTGGGACACGGTGTGTTCTCAAATATTTGTTGCTGGAATAAATGAATGAACTAAATCAGTCTTTTAGGGATTTATTGTTAACCACCATGGGAAAATTAAATAAATGCGGGAAAGGAAAACATTCTAAAATTAGAAGACTACTTTCTACACTCAGCTTCTGACTCCCTCTGAGCTAAGAACCAGACAGTGTTAGCCTGGTAACTCCTATAAGCTGGTCTTCCTCCCATGCTGACCCCATCTTTACAGTTCACTTTTCACGGTCTGAAGGCACCACCAAGATAGACCCAGGAGTGACAACTACAGTGTAGGTGTCCACTGTTCCCTTAATCTCTGTCCTGCTCCAAGTATAAATAAATTGGGGCCATTTCCTTAGATATTGGGGTTTTCTCAAGAAATCCTTTCCCTTTGTGGCATGGGTCAAATTGCTGGTAGTTAAAAAGGTGTTAACTCTTACGTGAAATAACACTTTTTCTTTGTAATGACCTAACTGGAAAGCCTCTGTGTCATCACTTCTCATTTCTTATTTGAAATCAGCAAACTGGATTCAGTAGACATGAACTTAAGCCTCATGAAAGTGGGGGTTTGGTCTGTTTTGCTCACTGCAATACCTCCAGGGCCTAGCAGCATGACTGGCACATATTTGTTCAAAGTGAATACTCACACCTTCACACCCTCCCTAGAGAGCTGTTCTTATAGGCCTCTCAAATGTAGGATTTAGGGAAGTCAAGTTAAAAAAAATTAAAACGGTTCAGCATCACCCACAGGTGAGGCTATTCTGCAAAATATGTTAATTGCCTTGAGGTATGTTTCGTCTGGACAAAACGTATTTCCACAGACACAAATCAAAGGTGTTTATGAAGTGCTGTGTGCCCTGTTTCTGGATTCCCAGTCAAGTGGGACACCAGACGTCATAACACAAGAAGGAAGTTCTGCGAAGCAAAATGAGGGCAGCAGCGGCAAACCAGTTTCACCAGGTTCCGCCTTTTCTCGTTCACTTCCGCCCTTCCCAGTTCCTGAGCAGACAGGTGGGGCCGCGTTCTGTCTGACAGGAAAGGGCGGGTCGCAGGGTTCCCCAAACTTCCGGCGCGCAGCAAGGCGGCCTCGCTAGTGGTTCTAACGCGAGGCGCGCGAGCGGCTGGATGATGTCACGGAATGGGGGGAAAAGAGGGCGGCACTCGAGTGGGTGCGCATGCGCAAGAAGGTGCCTGCCCTACAGGAGCAGAGCAGGCTGAGAGGGTCTTCCCAGCGCAGGCGGGATTTCCAGTGTTACTTGCGGCTGGGCGTTGGGGACTTGCTGCCTTTCTGGCAGCAGGCAGGAAGCCGCAAAAAGTTTCTGAGCCCGCGAACCTGTAGCGGACGTGGAAAAAGAACGTATGTGAGAGAGACTTATGCCTCATTTAGCAAATCACTGTAATATGCTCTGGTGTGGGGCGTGTGGATCGGAGAAATCCCATCTTCCGAGGGTCCTTGGTCGGACAGAAAGGGAAGGCGGGGCCAGCAGAAGTTAAAATACTACCGTATGCAGTTCTAGCGGATTTCATTCATTCATTTTTATGTGTCAGGGTGAGATGGTTGTTAGTCCACATTCTGGTGTATATTAATCAAATTGCTGTTCTTATAACTATTCTCTGGCGGAAAGAGTAGGGGAGTTGTCAGTGGAAAGGATACATTTGGAACTTGGAGCTCTGTCCCAGAAGGGCTTTTGGGCGAAATGCTGTGAATTTTGCCAAACACCGCCCCGCCTCCGCCTCTGACCCAAGCTCCTTAAGGTTTGAACCAGAGAACGTAATTTGCAACAGGTAAAATTTAGAATAAAAGCCAGAGGGAATATAAATCTAGCTATAAGGCTAGAAAAACACGAATTTAAGATTGAGGGAGACCAAGTCAACCAGAAAAATCAGGTAGCATTGATCCTATCTTGTCTGGGCTGGGTCACCATTTCAAAGCAGAGGGAGGGACAGAATAACCTTTGGAAGATACTTCGACTTAACGGGAAGGCTGTTGTCAGGTTTCATGGTGTGTCATTGGCTGTTAATAATTCCCTGCTATTGCTTTGTTTCTAGGCCCCTCCTCAAGTGTCTGGCTTAAAGATGCCACCCAGGGAAGGGAACTCTGGCTAGCTAAGGAGGCCATTCTTGATGTTGCTTCTAGATCTCATGTCGTCACTGAGACCTCAGCTGCTGGTGGCAGCTGCTCAGCAGACCCTTGGCATGGGAAAGAGACGGAGTCCACCCCAAGCCATCTGCCTTCACTTAGCTGGAGAGGTGCTGGCTGTGGCCCGGGGACTGAAGCCAGCTGTGCTCTATGATTGCAACTGTGCAGGGGCATCAGAGCTCCAGAGCTATCTGGAGGAGCTGCAGGGGCTTGGCTTCCTGACCTTTGGACTTCACATCCTTGAGATTGGAGAAAACAGCCTGATTGTCAGTCCTGAGCATGTATGTCAGCACTTGGAGCAGGTGCTGCTTGGTACCATAGCCTTTGTGGATGTTTCCAGTTGCCAGCCTCACCCTTCTGTCTGCTCCTTGGACCAACTTCAGGACTTGAAGGTCCTCGTGACTGAGATCATCACACATTTGCAGGGGCTGCAGAGGGACTTATCTCCCTCTGCAGTCTCCCACAGCAGGCTCCATTCCTCAGACTGGAATCTCTGTACTGTATTTGGGATCCTCCTGGGCTATCCTGTCCCCTATACCTTTCACCTGAACCAGGGAGATGACAACTGCTTAGCTCTGACTCCACTACGAGTATTCACTGCCCGGATCTCATGGTTGCTAGGTCGACCCCCAATCCTGCTCTATTCCTTTAGTGTCCCAGAGAGCTTGTTCCCAGGCCTGAGACACATTCTAAACACCTGGGAGAAGGACCTCAGAACCCGTTTTAGGACTCAGAATGACTTTACTGATCTCAGCATCTCCTCTGAGATAGTCACACTGCCGGCTGTGGCCCTCTGACTTTTACTCTCCTCTCACATAGAAGGTACTCAGTAAATGATCATCTCTAGGTTGGGGATGGCAAATAATCATCTCAACTGCCAATTCCAAGGGTCTTGAGTACACTAAGGCACAATGCTCTAATCCATTGGCTGCAAATGCAAAGGGCATGTAAATAGGTAGTGGTGGTGCTAGTAGCAAATTGGTAGATAGTACCTACTTGCCATTTCTATGCTAGGAAGTCCTCTTAGTGGATATGCTTTCATTTTCACTGGATAAGAGGTAGAAGGAAAGAGGTGATAGAGGAAAAGCAGGGTGGTGGAAGACAAGCCAAACACTCTTGCATGGTAACCGTCTAAATATACCTGCTCTATGTGGGTGCTGTCTGCTAGGAAAGTAGGGCTGGGGGTTTCTCTGCGTGTTTATATGCCTGCAACTGAATTTGAGGAGAGTAGACCACCAGTATGCTTAAATATGTGATACTTGTTAATGTAATACACCTTTCAGGAATAAACTGAGAGTTCTGAGGAACAGTCTGGTCAGGTGAAGTTTATTTACACTAGGTTAAGAAAATAACAAAAAGTCAGAAATCCTAAGTCAGTTGGAAAGCCCAAGCTGTAATGTACCCAAACCTTCTGAGTTTTTTGTTGAGTTGCTTGCTTCTGATTTTCACCCGAGACAGTTGTCACAAATTATTCAGATCATCAGGTTGTCTTTATTGGCCAGGAACACTGCCAGTGCTGCAGCAATCACCACCATCAGCATTGGGAGCCATCGCCCACATTGCCTCTGCAGAGGGACAGGGAGACAGAAGAAAGTGGCTATGAGTTGACTGGAAAAGATATAGGCAAAAGTCTTTCTTCTTCCTACTCTAGCCCAGTAGAAAACCCTGGGTTAGTGGTAGAGAAAAAGCTTTTTACTCTGTCTCCCACTCTGTCACCTGTCTTGGGGTAAAACCACTTAACCAGTGTTCTCTGGCCCAGGGAGCCATATCCATCAGGGACCAGATATATAAATACTGATATGAATAATGAAGGGTGGAAAATAACTCAGCAAAATTGTATTCTTTGTTTGTATTCCCCAGTACTTTTGTTGTCCTTCTGTTCTTGCCACCATGCTTATCATAGGCTAAAAGAACACCCTTTCATACTTTAGCTAAGAGTGAGTCTTTCCTTCTGGCATTGAGAGTTCCATGAAAGTTGGGCTTTGATGCACGAGTCCAGTGTTTTTTCCAGTGGTTGCCATAACGTCAGTATGTTATAAACCAAGCACAGTGGGACAGGATGGCCAGTTGTTGGCGTGGGCTGATATATTTTATCTGCAAATCTTGGTTAAGGAAGGAATCATCCCATCATCCAGGGCTTTATGGGAAGGAGAGACCCTCTTACTCTGGGAGGCAGCTGCTGGCTCTGGTTCAGCTCTTCTCGACAGTGCTGCAGCTTACGCAGGCAGGAGAGATACTCGTCACTGAGGTTGTCTAATTCTGAATGCAGTTCTGTGCACTGGGGAGAACATCACCAAAGTTGTCACTGTCACTTCTGTCTAGGACAGAGCCCAGGTAGGGGAGACTGCCCTGTGTAAGTTTCACTCATTTGGAATTTTTACCACCATCCTCCCTTCCCAGCCATTCTCAGGGATTTGAGTTTGTCTTTTGACTGTCTCACATTGTCTGGAATGTGTTCATTTTAAATGATTGACAATACTGCATATTATAATATTACATTTTATACATTTAAGTTCTTTTATGTGACTTTACGTGCAAGTGCTTTGCAAATGAGAGACACTGAAAAATGAAGTTCTTATAGCACAAACAACCTAGAAGTGACCTTAGTACAAGTTTCTTTCCCAGGAGCTAGTTGCATATGAATACTTCTGGGGATGTGTATGTTTGTGAGTTGTACAAAGGAAGAGTTTTACTCTTTAAAAGACATATAAAGACTTAAGATACTCAATGTGGGACGACATATTGAGAAGTTAATATTTTTATTAAATGTGTTTGAGTTTTGGTCAACTTTCTAAAAGGTAACCAGTTAAAACCTTGAATAGGAGTTGGTGTAAATAAGGAAGGGAAAAGATTGACAAGTCAGCCCAGAAGCACAGACACTTTATGTAGGCAAATTAATATCTGTGGGTATCCAGTCACAGCCTAAACTTTGAAATCCCTGCTCTTTGGCTGCTTCCCAGGTTTCTCTGCTATTCTGCAGATGAGCCATCACTGTCTCAGGTCACCCTCTCACCTCCTTTTCCTTGGCCTGGAGCTGCAAAGTCTTCTTTTGCAGCTGGTCTCTGAGATCCCAGTCTTTCTCCTTCCCTGTACCCTCAGGCTCCACTTCGTTAGGGAAGGACTTTGGACTCCACACGGGCAAAGCCTGATCTAAAAAAGCAGCCAGATTCTTGGTGATAGTGAGGCCCACACCTTTGAGGAAGGGCCCTGAGGGTGAGCCACTAGGAGTGGGGAGAGGGGAGGGAACTTGGGAGGACGTGCTCTTGGCTAGACTGATGGCATTCTTTGACATAAAGGTTAACTTCCACTAGGCCCCTGCTAAGCTTGGACAGACAGCTGGAATCTGAGCCCCTTGAGGACAAGATTGGCATCTTTTCTTTGTATCCCCAGTCTTATCTAGTGCTAGATAATTTTAGTGAATACTTACTAATTGAATTTCATTGGTTGTATGTCACATTCTTCCTAGTTTGTCAGATAAGTTTGGTGGATGCTTTAATATAACCCCTTTTCCCTGATGTCCTCATTTGAAAGTTGTGAAGATGGCAGTCATATCCTAAAATTTATCTTCATATGGTTAAAGATGGTTTTTCAGCCACCCTGCAGTCTTAGTCTTGGTGAAAAGAGCATGGACTAGGAGTCAGAAGTTTTGGATTGTTGTAGCTGTGTTGTTAGTCTGTGCCACCATAGACCTTCATGGTCTTATCCATACTATGTGGGCATAAACATTTCTGCATTATCTATTATATTATGCCCAGTGATTGTGAGGAGAAAACAAAAGGTCATGTGTAGTGGACAGGTGAGGAGCTATTGCCCCTCTGTATACACAGTGAATTCTCAGTAAACATGGACAGTAGACTCTCTAGGGCTAAGAGTGAGTTGACTCTGGCATGCTATGTGGTTTGGGGCTGGGAAGTTGGATGTGATTTGGAAAATCAAGTGTGTAAAAATTGACATGAAATCCTGAGTTCAAAATAAATTTATTGAAATGTTCAACACAAACATGTGCTTTCAGAGAGAATAGAAATCCTTTTTCACAGTTTATATACCTCAGGATAGAAGGCTAACTAGTTGAAGTGTCCTCAGAGCCAATGATCAGTCCTTAAAAAGCTCCCACACATCCTGGACTTAACAGACTCTCAGAACTGGGTGGGACTCCAGGAGGTCATGTAGTCCATCCCGCTGCCTCTAGGCAGGTAAGGGAAGAGCAGTATCTTAGAATTTGTGGTTAATAAATTTGCTGACCTTTCTTTGTTAAGAGTTTCTCCTGTTCTTGAAGCTGTAAGGATTGATTCTGAAGCAGACCTGTTGGAAAACACAAGGAACTTGTCTATGCTAGCATGTTTACTACAAAGAGTTTCTTTTCAGACCTTTGCCTAGAACCTTAGTTATTAAATATGTTCCCATCTGCTATGTGTTGAATTTTGTCCCCCAGAATCTATATGTTGAAGTCCTAACCCTCAGTACCTTAAATTATGACCTTATTTGGAGATAGGTTCTTTAAAAGATAATCAAATTAAAATGGGGTCATTCAGGTGGGCCCTAATCTAATATCACTGGTGTCGTTATAAGAAGGAGAAATATGGACACAGATACGTTCATGGGAAAGACACAGAGAGAAGACGGCCATCTGCAAAGCCAAGGAAAGAGCCCTGGAATAGATCTTTCCGTAAATGCCCTCAGAAGGAAACACCCCTGCTGACATCTTGGATTTCTAGTCTCCAGAACTGTGAGACAATACATTTCTGTTCTTCAAGGCACCCAGTCTGTGGTACTTTGCTATGAATATAGCATCCTTATTTCTCCCCCTACCATGTCTCTATCTTCAAGTCTTTGCTTGAAGACTTTCCCTTTCCCCTGCGGTTGCTTTGCTCTCTTAATAATCATTGCTGTTTGCATGAAGCTTCTCTATCAGGTGTCAGAGGTTAAAGTGGTGGGCAACCAGCAGCGGTATTAATTGAGTCAGGTTCTCCAGCTTTTCAGAAACTGCTTTTCTTCTGAAAAGTCCCTTTTCCTCTTTGGGCCCAATATGTAGTTTTGAAGTGGACTGAGGCACGTATAGTGTGTAAGCTTATTTTCTAAACCATCTCTAGTGACAGGTCTATGTGACACATTCATGTACTTATAAATTACAATATATAAAATAAGAGCTGCTTTAGGAAACCCAGTACTTAAAACAAAATCTGCAATTCTGGGGGAAATGTAAGTGGTGTCATTGGCATGGAAGGAGAAAAGTAGAAAAAAAAGAACAGAGGCTAATACATAATTTATGGAGAGCTATGTAAATGACCTCACTTCACAAGAAGAGGGTCTGAAAATGCACAGAGTTAGAGCATATGCCAAAGACTGGGCCCTTAGTCCCTACTCTGGGTGCCTTTTATGGGCCAGGACCCCCAGGAAAACCCTGTGGACTTTCAGAATCTGGAAAGCAAACTTACTCTGCAACTGCTGTACTCTGGTCACCAGGGTGAGCTTCTCCGACTCTGACCTTTTTAGTTGATCTGAAAATGCAATAATGCAAGCCAAAATAAAGGAACCCAAGACTTAATGAACTCAGTACTTAAGGATGGAAATTAGTAATAGATGCTGTCTTGTCGTGGCCTCTAACATGTGTCTTTTGGAAGTTGTGTCCCAGTTCTGAAGAGGTAAACCAGAAGCCAAGTACCTCAGGTTTTGTGCATCAACAATGTTGGGTTGCATTGAGGCTTGTATTTACACACTATCTAGTTCTCGGACGCAGAGGCTGTGACTGAGAGACTTTCTCTATGCCTTGTGTTTCAACTGGCCTTTCCCTTTCAAATTAGGAATGTGGCCTTGACATATGTGACTGATGTGGGAGCAGCTGTGATCTGGCCCAGAGGGATGCGCTAAAAAAGAGAGCTAGACAAAAGGATACTCTATCTGGTACAGTGAAATTAATTTTCAATTTTGGATGATTAAAACAGCCCTGCCTCTCCCTCAAGGTGAAATGAGATTACAAAGCCAATCAACCAATCAAGCAAACAAATAAAAGGCTGAAGCCTTTCTCTTAACTCAGTTTCTTTTTTCTTAGCTCACTTGGCCATGGCTCCCATACGCCCAAAGCCTCCAAGGAGAAGAGTACCTTGTAGGTCCTGGGTATCCAAGCTGCACAGGTCTCTGTCCCCTTGCAGGCATTCAATCTTGGCCTGCAGTTCCTGGTGCTCATTCTCCAAAAATCGCAGGGCCTGGTTCATCTGTAAGTCCCTGCTATCTGCTCCCTGTAAGGAGGAGGAGGGGCCATATAGAAGGAGGTCAGTGTTGGGGTGGAGGTTGGGGGCAGATACCATGGAAGAGGAAAATATAGAAAATTCTGGAGTTTTAGAGATAGAAGGAATGTTAGGTAGATGAGAAAATAGAGAAGTCTTTCTTTTTTCCTATTCTTCCCTTTGCTTTGTTCCTCACATTTATAACAGCAAATAAGACTTGATATTCACAAGGAACTCGTGTCTTTTATTTATTTATTTTTATTTTTAGAGATGGGGTCTCACTTTGTCACCCAGACTGGAGTGCAGTGGTGCCATCATAGCTCATTGCAGCCTTGACCTCTTGGACTCAAGCAATCCTCCCACCTTAGCCTTCTGAGTAACTGGGACTATAGGCATGTGCCAGTAGTTTTGAAGTGGACTGAGGCATGTGTAGTGTAAGTTTATTTTCTAAACCATCTCTAGTGACAGGTCTAAGTGACACATTCATGTACATAAATTAGAATATATAAAATAAGAATTGCTTTAGGAAACCCAGTACTTTAAAAAATCTGCCATTCTAGGGGAAATGTAAGTGGTTGTCATTGGCGTGGGACTCATGTCTTGACACTTTGGTAAATCACCAAATTAAGGAATACGAAGTCATCAGTTTTCTAGATGTTTTCATTTTCTCTTTTATTCTTCCTCTGGCAGTATCAATTTTTTTTGTTAGGGTCTTTTTTTTTTTTCCACAAAGATTCAAAGTTAAACCCCCTCCCCCCAAAATCTTCATAGGAGTTGCCTTATAGGTGATGGGAAGAAGAGAACAGCAAAGGTTGAGATGTGGATACCACGCAGAGTGACCAGCTAGGTTCACTCCTTTGATAAGACTCACATACTCTGTCTCTTATCAAGTGGGCTGTTCTGAGCCCTGTTTCAGGAAAATCATAAAGATCAGCTTTTGAGGTGGATCCTCAAAACTACAAACCAAGTAAATAAATCTATGCAAAATGATAGCTAATATTTACTGAGTGCTTTTATGTGCCAGGCATTGTGCTAAGTACTTTACATGGATCATCTTACTTAATACTCAGAACAACCTTATGATGTAAGTACTATTATCCTCATTTTACAGATGGGGAAACCGAGTCTTAGGACAGATTGAAGATGATGGAACCCTTGAGGATGCCAGGAGTCTAATTGTAATTGCTAAATGTAATTGCTTAAAAAACACATTGGCAAAAAGTGTTAGTTAGTACTCACCTGTAAATAAATTAGTGACATTTTTTCTGTGCCAACAATGGGCAATTCTGAACTGGATGCTTTTTTGGGATGGAGTTTGGAGAGTGGGTTGGGATATGACATTAGTAGGCTGATATATATTCCAGCCAGTTCTTTTCATTTGGATGGTGATGGTGTCATTCCAATGAACGCTTAGTTCATTTGCATGAGCAGTGCAGACATCCTTGCTAAACTCGAAATTAAATTTCAGAGCCAAAACAGTGAATTTGGTACAAAGTAGGTGGTGACTGAGGAACTGAAAGCCAGATGCTGTCAGCTGCCTTTGGAGTCCCTAATCCAGAACAGCTTCTTCATCACCACCCCTCCTCCCCATACCCTGTCTTCCCTCCCCACCCCCAGTGCCTGGTACCTGCAGTTTGGACTGAAGCACGTTGAGTTGGCTCTCCAGCTCTCTGTGCTGGGACCCAAGGGTCCTCCAGTCCTCCTTCAGAGCCTCGTACTGGCTCCTCCACTCTTCACACTTCTGCTCTGCCAGGGCCAGGGATCGCTGAGGGAGGTCAGAGAGGAGAGGGTTCCAGGGAGCTGTGCAGCTGGCTCCCTTGTTCCCCAAGCTGCCTGGAGTCCCCAACCCCAAGGTCTGTGTGGCATCCCCATACCTGTGTGCTCTGTAGTTGCTGCTCTGCGTTCATTTTCTCCTCCAGCACTTTCTGCAGTGACTCCTTGGCCTTCTGCTCATAGCTGTTTTTCTGGTCTTCCATCTCCAGTAGTACTTTTTTCATTCCCCAAGGGGAGTATTTCTGTAAATTTGATGCAATTCAACAAATACACATTGAACTTCTGTGTGCCAAATCCTGAACTGGGATACAGAAATGAAAAGAAGTTGGTTCTTCCCCCAGGCAGAGATACCAGTAATCTAGTGAGCCTTTTCTTTTAGGGTAGAGCTAGCAGGGAGAGTCCCTCAGGCAATGAGAGATGAGTGGGGGGGCATAATAAACAGTGCCCTAGGCTTGCTGGGCATTATATCTGAGGCCTTCCACAAGCTCTTGAAATCCAACATGTCTAAACAGGACTCATGTTTCTAAACATGTTCTTTTTTCTTGGGGTTCCTATCTCAGTGACCAGAATCATCATCCATCTAGTCTTTTCCAAACCCTAAACCAGGGAGTCAATCTTCATTTTCTCTCTCATTTCCTTCCAGTAATCAGTTGGTCATTGAACCTTGACAGTTTCCTTCATAGTTCATATCTGTCTCCTCTCTATCCCTACTGCTGCTTCCTTAGTTCAGGCTCTAGTAGTAGTGTTATGTGGATTAATGCAACAGCTTTCCTTTCTTCAAATCTTGCCTCCCTTCAGTCCCTTTTCAGTCCCGCATTTAGAAGGTTCTTTCTAAAATGCAAATCTGATCTTGCCACTTCCTGCATAAATTCTCCATGGATTCTCAGCATCCTAAGAATCACATCCAAACTCCTTGTCATGGCTCCACTTACATGCCTAGACTTTCATCCCATGCTACTTCCACCTAAGCTGAGATGTTTGCAGATCCCCTAGCACTCTGTTTTTTTGGCTTCTGCCTTTACCCATATAGCTTCTTCTGCCTAGAACTGGTTAACTTCTACTCATACTCAAGATTCAGTCCAGTATCATCAGTTCTGATAAATTGACCAACTGCCCCCATCCCACAATGTCTTATAGATTAGGCAGCTGTTCTTAGTGTTCATAGTGTTCACATAGTGTACCCTGCATGCCTCTATTATTCTACTCTGTTGACTCATCTGTTTTTCCTACTGGATTGTAAACTCCTTCAGGGAGGGAGCATACTGCTGCTGCTTTAAAAAAAAATCACTGTAGCTTCTCTACAATGCCTAATGAACTTAATGGTTTAAAATTAATACATTCGCGTTATAAAATTCCTCCTGGCTGCAGGATTAAGGAGACACAAGTGCAGCTTTGCAAATTCACTGGGGGT